TAAGGATAGCTATACAGGGAGTTGACTCACATTAATTTCCTGTACGTGTGTGTTGCCTTCTAGGTTAATTCTTTTTGATCTAACCTTTTCTCTAGTCCCTGGTCCCCTTTTCCTGTTGGCCTCAGTTGCTTTTAAGGTATCTGCTTTAGTCTAGCATTGCTTTTTATTTGTAATTTCTTTGGCTATTCAGGGTCTTTTGTGTTTTCATAGGAATTTTGGGTTTTTTTTCTCTATTTCTGTGACATTGGAATTTTGATAGGGATTGCATTGGATCTGTAGGTCCCTTTGGGTAGTATGGCCCTTTTCAGAATATTAATTCTGCTGATAAATGAACATGGGAGCTCTTCCACCCTCTAGTGTCTTTCTCAGTTTTATAATTTTATACTTTTCAATGGAGAGATTTTTTACTTACTTGGTTAAGTTTATTTCTAGGAATCTTATTTTTACTGTGGGTATTATGAGTGGAATTAGCTTCCTGATTTTTTTTCTCATCCAGTTAATCATTGGAGTATAGAAAAGCTGATGATTTTTATATGTTGATTTTGTATCCTGCTACTTTGCTGAAAATGTTTACCAGATCTAAAAGTTTTTGGTGGAGTCTTTATGTTTTTCTATTTATAGAATCATATTCCCTGTAAACAGGAATAATTTGGCTTCTTCCTTTGCTACTTGTATGCTTTTTATTTCTTTCTTTTGCCTGATTGCTTGGGCTAGAATTTCTAGTGTTGTATTGAATAAAGAATGCTGAGAGTAGACATCCTGGCCTTGTTCCTGATCTCAGAGGAAATGCTTCCAGTTTTTCCCCATTCACCATGATTTTGGCTATGGGTTTGTCATAGATAGGTTTATTATACTGAGGTATGATCCTTCTGATTTATTGAGGACTTATATTATGAAGGAATGTCAAATTTTATCAAGGACTTTTTTGTATCTACTATGATAATCATGTGAACTTTATCCTTGACTCTGTTCTGTAGTATATTTATTGATTTGTGTGTATTGAGCCATCCTTGTATCCCTGGAATAAAACCAACTTGATCATTGTGTATGATTTTTCAAATATGCTGTTCCTAATACTTTGAAACATTTTAAAATGATTTATAATACTTAACACATTGTAAATGCTGTGTAAATATTACACTGTATTGATTAGGGAATAATGACAAGAAAAAGAGAAGTGTGTACTTGTTTAGTTCAGATGGAAGTTTTCTCCATATTTTTTTCTATTCATGACTTGTTGAATTTGTGTATAAAGAAACTTGAATGTATTTATGAGGATTGGTTTTAGGATTTCTTTTCTGTTCCATTGATCTATTTGAATTTTGGGTGCTCACAATTCAACCTTTTTAGATTGGATGCTGACAGGAAGCAGAGAAAATTGTAGCATTGACCAGGCTGTATCAGAACAGCTGATGTCCTGGCTGTGTCAGACCAGCTTGAATAATACTGAGGTTTAGTTCCTTCCCTCCCTCCCTCCCATCTTTAGAAATTCAGAAGACCAGTGTTTTAATCTTGTCTTCTGGAAACATTTGTGGTTTTCCTTCATGATATACATTTCTGTCTCTGCAGGGTACCTACTACAGACTCCCCATCTGATCACCCAGTGGGATCAAGGAGAGGACCTACAGTCAGTGAAGAGAGGACTTGTCCAGGACACCTGTACTGTGGAGCATCAGGAAGGTGAGAATTCTGACTGAGGGTGGGTAAAAAAAATCAAATAGAAACAAAAAACTTTGCTTTGTCTGAGGAGGCTGATGTTCCACAGACACTTAGGATTATTATTTTGACTTTTTTAAGTTAGTTTTTTCATACTTTCTTTGTTCTTTGCAAAGACCTCCATCACTTTTTATTTTTTATTTTTTTGTGGTACTGGGCTTGAACTCAGGGCCTTCACCTTGAGCCACTCCACCAGCCCTATTTTTGTGAAGGGTTTTTTTCGAGATAGGGTCTCAGGGAACTGTTTGCCTGGGCTGGCTTTGCACTGTGATCCTCCTGATGTCTGCCTCCTGAGTAAGGAGGATTAAGGCGTGAGCCACTGGTGCCTGGCTTTCCATCTTGTTCTTTTAAAGTTAGTATTTGGAATGTGCATTTTATTCAGTTCCTTTCTGTTTTACTCTCCTAATGGTATTCTGATTATATTAATACTCGTGTCAGTTCTCATAGAACTACTGCTTAGTGAATGGTTTAACATTTTGCCTATGAATGCCAAAGTCCTGCAACAACCATACTGATGAAAGTGCTTTGCTTACTGATGACTCCATTTTTTTTCTTCCAGGTTTCAAGACTCAACTTAATACTAATGAATTAGTTGTTCATGATATTGTTGGACAAAAAATATCCAATGAACAGAAAATAGTAGGCTTGAAAAGAAATGGTTCCTGTTCCTCTATTATTTTACATGATAACAGGGAATCCCATGATACTGATCATGACAGCAAAAGTCATGATGGACATTTGAGGTTAGTACCCATCATATAAAAGAAGGTAGTGCCTTAGGAGAGAATCTTAAAATGTCTCGAAATTTAGAAATACTTGCATATAAGCCTAGGTCAAAAAGTTGAGTTCAGAAAGAATTTTGTCTTGATACTTTTTTCTACAAATGAGACTGTTATTGTATGTTTGACATGTACTTTAGTTGTAAGCAGTTATTAAGAAAATACCATGCTGTGTGCCAGTGGCTCATGCCTGTAATCCTAGCTACCTGGGAGGCAGAGATCAGGAGGATTGCAATTCAAAGCCAGCTCAAGCAAATAGTTTGTGAGACCCTATCTTGAAAATACCCAACACAAAAAAGAGCTGGAGATGTGGCTCAAGTCATAGAGCATTTGTCTAGTAAGCATGAGGCCCGGAGTTCAAACTCCAGTACTCCAAAAAAAAAAAAAAAATACCATAAGACAAAAACTTGGTGACAGTGTTGGCTCTGGTAGAGCTCTCTGTAAGCTTTTAAGTCAATAGGGCAGAAAACATACACATTCACTGAAAATGGTAAAAAAATATATTGCTAATAATCTGTCTTTTATTTTTAGAAGTCACACGTTGGAGGACATATATGAATGTAATGAAGAAAATCAATGCACACAAATTACAAATATTAATATGCTCAACAGAGCTACTGAAGGAAAATCCTATGAATGCCATGAGTGTGGAAAGGCCTTCATGTTCCATTCATCCCTCAAGAATCACATTCGATCTCATACTGGAAACAAGCCCTATCAGTGTAAGGAATGTGGGAAAGCCTTCCATTTTCTCGCTTGTTTTAAGAAGCATATGAAGACTCCTACTGAGGAGAAGCCCTACGAATGTAAAGAATGTACCAAAGCCTTCAGTTGTTCCTCATTCTTTAGGGCACACATGAAGATTCATAGTGGAAAGGGAAGCTATGAATGTAAGGAATGTGGGAAAGCATTCAGTAGTTCTTCATACCTCACAGAGCATAAAAGAATCCACAGTGGAGATAAACCCTATGAGTGTAAGGAATGTGGGAAGGCCTTCAGTTGTTCCTCGTCACTCTCTAAACACAAAAGAATCCATAGTGGAGACAAGCCATATGAATGTAAGGAATGCGGGAAGGCCTTTAGTTCTTCCTCTCACCTCATAATACACATAAGAATCCACACTGGAGAGAAGCCTTACGAATGTAAAGAGTGTGGGAAGGCCTTCAGTGAATCCTCAAAACTCACTGTACATGTGAGAACACATACTGGAGAGAAACCCTATAAGTGTAAAGAATGTGGGAAAGCCTACAATTGCCCCTCCTCCTTAAGTATCCATATGAGAAAACACACTGGAGAGAAACCCTATGAGTGTCTCGAATGTGGAAAAGCCTTCTATCTTCCTACTTCCCTGAATACACATGTGAAAAATCAGAGTAGAGAGAAACCCTATGAGTGTAAGGAATGTGGGAAGGCCTTCAGTTGCCCTTCATCCTATAAAGTACACATGAGAGAACATGCTGGGAAGGTACAATACGAATGTAAGGAGTGTGGGAAGGCCTTTAGTCGTTCCTCTTCCCTCACTGAACACTTGAGAACTCACAGCGGAGAGAAGCCGTATCAGTGTAAGGAATGTGGGAAATCCTTCATTAGTTCCTCCCATCTCACAGTACATAGAAGAACTCACACCGGAGAGAAACCTTATGAATGTAAGAAATGTGGGAAGGCATTTATTTACTTCTCGGCCCTTAGCATCCACATGAGAACGCACACTGGGGAAAAGCCGTATGAGTGCAAGGAATGTGGGAAAGCATTTCGGCACTCTTCGTATCTTACTGTACATGCAAGAATGCACACTGGAGAAAAACCCTTTGAGTGTCTAGAATGTGGAAAAGCCTTCAGTTGTCCCTCATCCTATCGACGACACGTGAGAAGCCACACGGGAGAGAAGCCATATGAGTGTAGGGAATGTGGGAAAGCCTTTATTTGCCCAGCCTACTTTCGAAGACATATGAAAATTCACACTAGAGAAAACACATAAATGTAAAGAATATGGGGTGCGTGGAAGGCTTTTCTAATCAGGCAGTTTACACAGTCTCATACTGTAACAACACCTTATGAATGTGACACAAGTAGAAGATTGTCCCTCATCCCTTTGAAGACTTGAGGACACCTGAGAAGTCCTGTGTGTGTAAACCATGTGGTAAAGCATTCCTGAGTGTTGCTTCACTTGTGTACAAAAATGTTCATACTAGAAATAAGATAAGTTCCTCACTATTAAAAAGAGACTGCTGGCTCACTGATTTCCAGTGTTTTCTAATGAGAAGATTTAAGGTGATAATCTTAACCTTTCAGCTCCAGGCACATGCTCTTTAGTAGGAGGTGCATTTATTTTAGCTCATATGTAAATGTTATTTCCATTATAAAATCTTTTGGACACATGAGTAAATTTTTAATTTTGGGATAAGGTCTTTCTATGTTGCCCAGGCTGGCCTTCAACTCTGGAATTAACTGAGCTGCTTACCTGAGGCTCCCAAGTACATAGGAGCACAAGCATGGCTACCATGACTGGCTGAAGTTTGTTTTCATATGTAGGCCAGAAAGCAGAAAGTTTTTTTTTTAAGTTGGTTTCTAGGGATGGGGATGTAGCTCAGTGGTAGAGTGCTTGCCTGGCATGCATAAGGCCCTGGGTTTGATCCCTAGCACCACAAGTAAATTGGTTTCTAATTCCAGTGTTTCTCTAAGTGTGTGGTCATTATGGTATGAACAGTGTTTCTTATCATTGTTTTTCATCTTTGGGGAAAGATATGGGAAGTTGCCTATCCAATATTTTTCTTTCCTTCCCTTTCTTTTTTACTAAGATAATCTGTTTGAGAA